GCTGCACGTTACTGAGCTGAAGGGGGGGGAAAAAAAAAAAAAGAAAACACCAGAAAATATCCTATCTGCTCTTTCCTTTTTTTTCCCCCTTAAGTTTCCTAAAATGGAGCTTATGCCAAAAGCCCCAGATTCCCAACTGCACATCCTTGGAGAAATTTCTCAGAGCTCTTATTTCCTCTGAAATTTGCAGCTGAACTTTTTCTGTGCTTCTTGAACCCCACATGGAAACAAATTTATTTTCCCACAATCATTTCAGCAGTTTTTGCTAAGGACAAGGAATAATGGAGGTCCCCATCACCCCAGAAACCCTGCAGCCCCCTTCCCCTGCACGCTGAAACATGGCAAGAGAGACAAACACAGAGAGGAGCCAGCCCTGTTCACAAATGGGAAACTGAGGCACAAAGATGAATGCTGAAGGAGGACTAGAGGTCTGAGGCAGCTCCAGGACATGAGCTAGGAGATCCTGGATCCCAGACAAGCACATAATTCACCCAAACATCTACCCTCAAATGTTTTGATGCTTCCTGGCATTTGCATTTCTCTTAGAACACAAAGGGAGGAGGCTCAAAAGCTCTTTTAGAACTCCAGCTGACACCAAAAACCTGAAGCTATTTTTATTCTCCCAAGATCTCACAGAGCACCCTTCTCCTTTGAAAAAGCAAGCAAGCTAAGGAACCTAGCTGCAGGGTTTCCTGTTCCTTGAGTTGATCCAATTAAGTAACATTTTACTGGACAGTTAGAGTCCTTTGGGGTTTTTCAGAGAAAGATACAGCGTGCAGCTCACAGGTACCTACAGAGGAAAGCAGGGACTGCCAGAGAGCAGATGCAAGTGTTGAAAACCTCACTTCTGACAACAGGGAGATGGTCACCCTGCAATTTGTTTCAACACAGCCAGTTGTGTTGCCATAACTTGTTCAACATCTGCTAAAACCATATGGAATCCTCCTGGGGGATGTAAGTTGATACCCTTCATCAAACTCTTTCACTGCTTCCCTTCTCCCCAAATGACTCCCTCCAGAGAGGCAACTGAAGGGCAAGGTTCTCATGTCTGTGTGCAGAAAGGGGCCTGAGCCAGAAACGTGGTGACAGCTCCCCCTGAACCTGGGAGAAGGTCCTACCTGAGCAAATTGTTCTGAAGAGAAAAACAAGCCAGCACATCATCAGAAGCCTGACTGGGTCGTGCCACGGAGCTGTCGGGTGAGAGGAGGTCCCGTGGGGTCCTGCAGCAGAGCTGTCCTCCCTTCTGCAGGAGCTGCACTAACGGGCACTGCCAGTAAGATACAAGACTGCTGAAATTAGGGCCTTTGGCATGGAAGGACCTAAAGCTTTCCCTAGTATCACATAAGATAGAAAAAAAAAAAAAGCCAGACTGTTGGTTTGTCCCCTGTCTGAACACTCATGGCTGTCTGGAATCACCACAAGCAGCTGAGAAACAAGCACAGCATCAGTACCTCGGAGCCCTACAGCAGGAGTGGGTTCAGGACAGACTCCTGGAGTGGGGGCTCTGCTGGGTGCTTTCTCTCCAGATTCTCCTCATTCTCTACTCGGCTCTTGGTCTGCTTTTAGCTCTCTCACTTTCCCTCTCCCACTAACAGGATCTGCAGCAGAACCTCCTGTTCCTCCCTTAGCCAGCCTTTACACAGCTGACTCTCCTCACTTACCTTCTCTCAACTCCCACTTTCTGAAGACTTCAGATCTTCTCTGAAACCAGCTACACAGCCTGAAGCCCCATCAAAGGCCAAACAGCACATCTTAGACAAGACCTGGAAAGAGCTGTGAAGATCTCTGCGGCTCCAAGAGGACCTGTGGAAGCTGTAAACATTCTTTTTATTGGATAGAGCTCCTTTATCCTGTGTTCCCTCTTGTGAAGGGTTTGTTGTTTTGTTTTTGGTTTTGTTTTGTTTTTTTTTTTTTTTTTAATATTGAAAGGAATTTGGAGGGGGGGGTAGGTAATAGAAACCCCAACGCAAGCCTGAAGCACTCTCTGCAGTTTTTGGGTGCATTTCATAATAAAAAAAGAACACTTTAAAAGAATAAGGAGAAAGACATTGTGATGGTGCAGTGAAACAGCTTTAATTTTCACTATTTGCTTGGTGTTAAGTACAGTCACTTTCTTACCAGAGGAGAAAGAATAAATTCAGGTACAGCAGGTAGAATGAGGTATAAACTGACGTGTCCTGTTCTCCCCTGCCCCACCCCAGGTAAAAACCCCTGACCAGCTTAGCACAGGCCAAGCCTCTCCTCCACCACCAGCTCCAGTCTGCCAGATACTGGTTAGGTGGAAAGAATGCGATGGAGGGAGCTATGTGAACCACGAGCTTTCTTTGTGATGAGTTTTCTTCACCCCCAAAAGTGAGGGCTCCATGAACAGTAGGGCTTGGGTCCATCTCCCTGCTGGCCTGGGCCTGTGCAGAGCACAACCCTCCAAGGGGACAACTCCCAGCTCTGCAGGTAACTCACCGCAGACTCCCTCGGGAGATGACCTCAGTCCAAGGCCTTTCTCACCACTTAACAGCTAAGGAAAATGAGGCCTGTGGAGCTGGAGATCTTCCTCAGCAGATGAGTAGCCAAACCTTAAGTGATGCCTCAGGCTTTGGATCCCATCTGCCACCCACAGCTGTGATGCCAGCACTTCTGTCCGTAAGGACACAGGTCTCTACAAACACTTCAGCATCTTCTGCCCTTTCCCACAGAAGCATCAAGATTAAACTCCTTCATCTCTGCCCTTTTGGGACTAGGTAGGAAGTAGCATGAGATCTCTGAGGTGGCCACTCCCCCAGGCTTTGAGCAGAGGAAGCTGCAAAGCAGGGGACCAGAGGAAACCAACCTCACCTGATGGAAAGCTGCTTTGGGAAGCTGCAACTGCTTCCCCCACCCTCCAGCCTGCCTTAACCAGAGAAGGTGCTGGAGAACTGTGCTCCCATAGTGCCCCAACTCATTTCTCCCACCTGCTGGGTGACATTTTTAAGGACCTCTAACCAAGTGGCCACCTACAGACCCAGGGTCATAACCACGTTCCTAAGGTCTGTGGCCAGCACTGGTGGGAAGACAGCATTGAGGGGTCCCTCCACGACGGCTTGTGCTGTGGTCAGTTTTGTCTTCCCTGGAACCCCAACCTCCCACCCCCTCAAACCCAACGCTCTGCCTGTGCAGAGGTTCACGTGACCCCCCCCACCCAGAATGAAGCTTCACACACCTCTGCCCACAGCCCCAGCCCGAGCGCAGCCAGGCGAGGGCAGCAGCCCGGTGTGCCAGGCTCCAGCTCCTGCTCCAGCTCCTGCCACAGCCCTGCCCAGCTCCTGCCACAGCCCTGCCCAGCTCCTCCACCCTGCTCGCCAGGCTGCGCTCCCCCAGCTCCTGCCTCGCAGGGGGGAGGTTTCCCTCCCAGAGCCCAGCTCCTCCACCTGCACAGGAAGGCTCCTCCCAAATACGAGGAGCTCACTAACCTATTTTGGACACGTTGAAAGCAGCTTGGCAGGGGTGTGTTGTTGGGAGGCCCCAGAATTTAGCCTGCTGTTGCCTCCCCATTTCATTCACCTCTTAGGAAATAAAATAACTAACAGTTGTGATGTTTCCTGGCTCAACTACTTGCAGTATTTCTTACCTGACACATTATTGCGTGGCCAGTAGGTACAATGCACACAGTGTCCCAAGTTTATGCAGCTGCTTCTAAATGCCAAAAGCACTAACACAACACACAGGAACTACCCACTACCTTCTCCTAACTCTACTAAGATATTGAACAGCAATAGCTGTAGATCCCAGTCTCACCAGTGGCTTGAGGGCTGCTGGTCACAAGCACTTCTGTTGGCACAGGCATCCTTCTACGAGGATTTTGGGACATCAGCTCCGTTTCAGGGCAAGCTTTGATCCACAGGGGTAAGTCCACAGCCTGTGCACAGACCTTCTGGCTTCAGTCCCATGGAGAACAAAAAAAAGCCACCTCCAGCTGTGGACAGGGATAATCCACAAGGAAAGCACTAGGAAGTGAGGCAGCTGATGCTGTTAAGCCCGGGAGGTGCTGGAGAAACTGGCCAGTGAATACTGAAACACATTTATTCCATCCTTGACTGAGCTAGAGAAGGCAACGGTGCCTTCACCTGCCCTGCTCCTTGCTGTTCCTCATCCCAGTTAAGTCTCTTAATGCTGCAACCTTTGATCCTGTCTCCAAGGCGGAAGAGCTGCGGTGCCTGCACAGCAGGAGAGCTGGGACACCACCCCCCGAGCTGGGCTCACCTCTGGAGGCTGCTCACCGACCCCAGCAGCTGCAGGGGGCTAGTTCTGCCCTTCCTGACCCTGCCCACAAGGGCTCTCCAGCCCCTGCTGCACTGGGCATCAGCTCACACCCAGCACTGCTGCCACCAGCCAACTGTAGGAAGTGTTCTGGGTGAAGGGGATGGGACCCCAGCCTGGAAACTCCACAGATCATCCTGAGCAAGGGGGTGTCCTTGAGCTCAGCAGGTTGTTGTCGAGAGCGTCCTTCACTTCCCACACAGTGCAGCTCACACAGCTCTGCTGGCCCCAGTGTTGCCCCTGGCAAGGGACAGGGCAGGGTCAAGACTGGCCAAGGGGAGCAGCCGAGTCCTTCGCTGCTCCCCTGTCTCCTCAAGGATTTGGTTTCCATGTGCTGGTCTGTCTTTGTGCTTTGTTCCAGCGGGTTCAGAGCCTGTGATGCCATCAGCCAGCTCCCTCCAGGGAAACTGGCTCTTTTCCCTGAGCCTGCCAGGCCCCCACACGCATCCCTGAGCCTTCCTCCTGCTGCTCCTCACTCCTCACCTCCCACGGAGGGGCTGGGGGCCTGCCCGACGCCGCTGCCCCACCACGTCACCTGGCAGTGCCACCAGCACCGGGATACACACCCATTCATGCCAGTGAGTGGAAAAGAAGGAATACTTTAGAACCAAAAGGGACTAACCAAAAAAAAAGAAAGTATAATTGTAACTCAAAATTACTGACACAACCCCCCCTCCCCCCCCTTCCCATGACAGAGGGCCCAGGAATTAGACTTTCTTGGGACGGCGTCCAACTTGGTAATAGTAATAAACGCTGATGAGGATGAAGAGGGCTCTGCTGACCAGGAGGAGCACGGCACCCGTGGCTATCCGGCTGCTCTCGACCAGGGAGATGGTGGTAACTGGAGGAGAAGAGACAAGGCAGAGGCTGCTGATGGAGAACCAGTGGAGACAAGCAGCACAAAGCTGTTTTCTGCTGCCCTCTAACGCGGCGTCCCCGCAAGAGCTCAGACCTAGAGGCAGCAGCAGCCTTCAGCACAGGCTCCCAGGCACAGCACACCCATGGCAGAGGCTCCTCACCAGCCTCAAAAGGGTCACTCAAGCAGAGAAAATTATTTTGGTTGGAAAAGACCTTTAAGATAGTTGAG